AAATCAAACTCGCGCTGCGCGCTCGTTCGATTTTGAAATCACGCGTATGATTTCAGACCAAATTGCACTCCACTCAGTTCAATTACCATTATTTATTACACCATATTAACCTTGTGATTACTTGATAAATAATAAAGGAGAACTGCATTCAAGAACTATTGAAGACCTGTTTAGCTTTTGTACTTAAATTAAGATTTTGTATTTATTTCACGGAAAAGAATATATTAAACACATTTTCATCAACTGGATGTTGTCCATTCCTTTGTTTTACCACTAGTGTGACACACGCTTTTTATTCTGAGTTACGTTTTGAACAAATTGTGCTACTAAGAGCAGTTTTCAATGGAGTGTCTTAAGAAGAAATCAGAGGCAATTACTTATAATAATTGGTTTTGGTTTTGATTTTGCTACAGTTCGAGTTTGGTTTAGTTGTCTAATTGGTTATTAATTGGTTTGGTTTTCGTTTTATGACCCGTAATTGTAAACCACTCTATGTTGATTTTAAGTACTGGAATACTTGACTTCATAAACAACTGATGTGAACATTTTACAGGTTCACCACTTCATGCTGTATGATATTCATGCTCGTGGTTTTGTGAGACCTTACTGCATGTGCTACATTTCCCAATGCAAAAGGTAATTACTTTCAATGAACACTTTTATATAAATTTACATAATTTTAAAATGAAATTTATGGCTTTGCAGGAATAATGTTTATTTGGGGGTCAATCAATAACTAGCTGAGATAATTAATGTTTGATTAAGTATTATAAATAATAGTTTAAGATTCTTGCAGAGCAGAAATCTCAGTTTACAACTACAGTTCCTGGAAGGTTCGGAAACATTTGAATTTGGTCCTGTTCCTGAATTGTAAGGAAATGGTTGCAGCAAAATTATACAGTATAATTTGGGACTGTCTATTGCAGGGACAGATCTAGGGGGAGGGTGCATGGGATGTGTCCCCCCCCCCCCCCTGCATGAGATGACATGCCAGTTTCTAATGTAACTGGTATTCTGCAAAAAAAATCAGTTACACCATTCCTTAGTGGTGCACCCCCTCCTAAGAAAAATCTTGGATTCGCAAGGTGTACTGCATCAATAACTTGCGCTCTACTGTGAGAAACCTCTGCCACATTACAATTCAGTGGCCGAACCAGAATTTAAGGTCTGCAGCTCACCCAGATAATACTTTTTTGTTTGTTTAGCTGATAGTTTTTTCCCGTCCCCTTCACCAAAAAGTTGGGTGGCAGGCCCCTTACCTGGACCTGTTATTATAGCTTCATGGTGTGTATCTTCATCAGCATTCATTGGTTACCTAACGACAATCTCATGCCATGTTACTCTTTGTCTTCATGTGCAGAAAAATGTTTTCTTTCCTTGACAGTCTCATGGAGGAGTTTACTAAGGTACAGTTTAAACATTATTGTTACTAGTTAATAGTATTATATTAATAAATTTGTAATATAGAGATTGACGCTCAAGGATGTTAGGACATGACGTGTTCTCTATCCTTGATCATCCCAGATACATACTTTTTGTAAACTGGTACAAATCAAGCTAAAAGTTTGTCACTGCGAGACAAGGGCAGCAGATGGACCTATTGTAAATGATTGATTCAGAACCTTTAATCCTCATATCCACTGCAGTAGAAACCATTAAACTTCTGGCCACAACTCTGCAGATTAATTAGGGAGATAATTTCTTTTATTAATTAAATACTTATTTATTGAGTGATTTGGGATGATTTTTAGGTGTCTAGGCTCTTCAGGCATGGGAACAGAATAACGTTCTTAAGAGACCTTGAACAGCGTTTGGCTGATGTCATGGCCATGAAAAGTTTGCACACAGGTTTGTAAGTAACCACTGTCAGTGAGGGAATAATGCTTTCAGTGTAGTAAGTGTTTTCATATTACATTACTTGCAAAAAGATTATAGGTTCCAGCTCAGTACAGATAAGATTAAAAAACAATTTTGTAATAATTCAATTTCAATTGATTTTTATTCATCTAACTTTTTTATTTTTGTTTTTATTTTCTTAGTGGAAAATGCTCATTTAGGTAGTCTCATTGATAAGGCATTGAAGGTACAGTACAGTATAAATATTATTATCACCACATTGTCATATGATAGTAGTAATAGAGTAGATGTCAAGCTAGCTCTGTACTTCACACATTGTATGTTTTTATTTATGATAACACATATACGAGTTTGATTAGCAATACGCAAGGTACAATTACAATTTGCTCAACCAGATTTATATGTTATTTTACAATAACAAAACAGTTGGTACTAAATTTATATACCGTAAATGTGTACAATACGAGTTATTTTTCCTCCCAGGAAAGGGTGATTTATATAAAACACAAAACAATTGAAAGCTTAACGCAAGAATGTCACTTAAGTTACAGTGCACAAGTTTGAGTACTACTTAACAATTATTCACCGAAGTGGAGGTAAATATCCATCACTTTCACCGACACTGAGGTGAATAATTGTTTTAGTATATACCACACAAGCTGAATAATTAGCAGACCAAAATGTTATTTTATGTGTGACAAGCGGTTGGAAATTTTAAAATCTCTCGCACCGGCTGTTCGGAGGTGAATAGTACTTGCTAATCACCCCCGAGTTAACCAATCAGAGCGTGCAAAAAGCACTATTCACTTGTGTGGTATATACTAAATATTATTATTATTAATATTAAAAATATTTTTGAAAGTGCCACTAGTATGATAAGTTATAGTACAGTCAAAACTTTGTTAAGTGGCCCTCAGTTAAGAGGTCACTATTCAAATTCCTGAAACTTGCTTGACATATTTACTGGACAGTCTAATACTTGGAATATATTGGATCAGCAAACAGGTTAATTAGTTATTGGCATGCTCCAGCTCCCTTGGTCACATAATAACTTTTAAATATATAAATCAGACTTGCTAAATTGTGTTGAATGAAAATTTACTGTGCATTTATTTTTATTGCATTTTTGACATTCAGGTTCAGGACACAGAAAAATCAAAGGGCACCGAGGTGGAGGAATATGAGATCATCATAAAGGAGACAAGAAAGTTAATAGAAGTTCTTAAACCTCACGTGGTGGTAGGTGAAGTGCTATTCAAGGCCATGTGATAGTTGTATATTCTCAGTTACTGTAAAGTTCTGAAAGTAACAGCCTTTGTATGTTACTTTCTGATTTAGCAACCTTATTCCTATTGCTCCTTTCAGTAGGAAAACAGTTTACTATTTTCAGTGGTCGCCACCTCTGCAATTACCCACAAATGATGATTAAACCTTTTGTCAAGTAGTCTAAACTTTCAGAGAGCTGCTACTCTCATTGCTATCTGTCATTGACAATAAGAAAATTAAGTTAAAACTAACAGTAGGCAATGGCAACAAAGATACGTTGCCCTGTCTGAATTCTGGGGTAGATACCAGATTTTAGAGAACGGGTTTTGAGATATGGATGTCCGAAGGTGGTCCTTTGTAGGGGTTGTGGGGCATCCTCTCCCGAAAAGTTTTAAAACTGAGGTCCTTGGAAATGGGATTTCCAGCATTGTGAGGCCAAGTCAGTGTGTTTACTGCCTCATTTTTTAATTAAGGGGTTCATTCGACCACACCCCCTAGATCTGCCCCAGTGAGTTTGAACCCTAGAGTAAGACAGACAGAAGATGGACAGATGGAGAGATGTAAATTTAAACTGTTGGGCAGTCAAGCCTTTCTTATTCTCTTACATGAAGGTGCATATAATTCATGGCTTTGTAGTAATCATTTTCTATGCTTAAATCATTTGCTTAGCCTTCAAAATCAAACATTGTAGATCAAACTTTCATTATAAACTAGTTAATATTAGCTTAGTTTTCTTTTCCTCCCTTACTGAGATGTCTTTTTTTTCTTAGTCTAGAATAGTGTTACCAATTAGCTTATTTAATATTTCTTTTATAATCTTATTATTCAATATATATTTAATGTGCATTTTTTTCTATTCATGTAGTGAAATACCCTGACTAATGACTGTGTATTTTGTTGGTATTTTTTTAGCATGATGCAAGGGTCGTGCAACAATTTAGAAGACTGGAGGACATGACAGAAGGACGGACTCGTAGTTACACAGATGCTGATGGGTTTTCTCTTATAAAAAATGAAGCAAGTGAACTTAAATTACCTATCTTTGTTAAACAACAACCTTCATTACGAAGAGGTTTGTAATGTTAGTTTATCTTATTACCTGTAGGCAGTCTTGTTTTATAGTCTGAAATATGATCTGTTGGCCAACAGTCAGCCATCTTTTGGCCGTTTGCAGGTGGACACGTTTATCGACAACTGTTGCCTGACAGTTGACCAACAGTTTCATTAGGGGGGAGGGGTGTTGTCCACACTACCATGGCAAAGAGGTAAAGGTAATGTTATGTCTGTATACGAGGCAAGTGGCCCAATTCAGGTTGGAGCCTATCCCTGTTTCCATAGTATGAAGCAACTAAGAGTATTTCTACNCCCTTCCTGGATGGGTTGCTAATTCATCGCAGGTTTACCCCCAGCAGTAAGTTTGCCAGTACCCATTTATACACTTGGGTGGAGAGAGGCACTGTGAGAGTTACATGTAAGTGTCTTACCAAAGTATACAACACAATGTCCTTGGCCAGGACTCAAACCCAGACTGCTTGATCTGGAGACGAGCGCACTAACCATGAGGCTACTGTGCCTCCCACCATGGCAAGAGGCATCCCACAATCCTGTAGCCCAGAGAGAGAGATGCCTTAAAAACCCAAACCCAAAGTTATGACATTTTGCTTTTAGCACAATAGTGATAGTATTGATATATTTTACTTCAGTCTTTTGAACATTGCTCTTTCTCACAAGAAACCTACTAGGCTTTCTAGATAAAATTTATCTGATTGTAATTTTGTTGCAGCATTTTCACTCCCAGATATGAAAGATCTTCTAAAAGGACATAAAAAAGGGAATGTAAGTTCAGAGTTCTTTGAGTAATCATTTCATACCATGAAGAATTAAGGTTACTTCCCACCTTCAGAGGCCAAAAAAATCGTTTTTTCTTTCATTGGACAAAATTTACGTTCGTCATTTTATCTAGCGTTTCCAAAGGAAAAACATTAAAAATCTCGAAAAGCGGCCGAGTTATTTAGAAAAAACATATTTTCAAATAAAGTTAATAAACTAGGAAGGTGTCATAATCTTGTCAACGGGCGAGAACCCTGGG